TTTTAAGCGAAAATAGAGTACTTTTAGCGTAAATACAGTGTATTTTAGTAATTAGGCAATCATCCCTTGATACTTTGAAACCCGCACCTGAAGACAAGTTTTAGAAATTCGTAAGATCTTTCAAATGAGATATTAAACGCTTTCAACGGCACAACATAGAGCATGATATGATCGCATCACATTCTACACGAGTTCGGAGTGAAATCAGAAACATTTGAGAATATATGGTTAATCTGTAACTTTTAATTAATGCATTGTAAATGAATTTGGAACAATAAATTTATAGCTCCGATCTATCCTTCCAACAAGATATAATACGCTCCAAACGGATAAACACACAGCAAGATATGAGTGTCACAAATACTTATCCTTATCTCTATGATTTATCGTTTTCAGCAAAAATAGAGCACTTTTAGCATAAATACAGTGTATTTTAGTAATTAGGCAATCATCCCTTGATATTTTGAAACCAGCGCCTGAAGACAAGTTTTAGAAATCGGTAGGATCTTTCAAACGAGATATTAAACGCTTTCAACGGCACAAAATAGAGCAAGATATGATCGCATCAAATTCTACACGAGTTCGGAGTAAAATCAGAAACATTTGTGAATATATGGTTAATATGTAACTTTTAATTAATGCATTGTAAATGAAGTTGGAACAATAAATTCAGAGATCCGATCTATCCTTCCAACAAGATATAATACGCTCCAAACGGATAAAGACACAGCAAGATATGAGTGTCACAAATACTTAGCCTTATCTCTATGATTTAGCGTTTTCAGCGAAAATAGAGCACTTTAAGCGTAAATACAGTGTATTATAGTAATTAGGCAATCATCCCTTGATATTCTGAAACCAGCGCCTGAAGACAAGTTTTAGAAATCGGTAAGATCTTTCCAACGAGATATTAAACGCTTTCAACGGAAAAAATTAGAGCAAGATATGATCGCATCAAATTATACACGAGTTCGGAGTGAAATCAAAAACATTTGTGAATATATGGTTAATATGTAACTTTTAATTAATGCATTGTAAATGAAGTTGGAACAATAAATTTAGAGATCCGATCTATCCTTCCAACAAGATATAATACGCTCCAAACGGATAAACACACAGCAAGATATGAGTGTCACAAATACTTAGCCTTATCTCTATGATTTAGCGTTTTCAGCGAAAATAGAGCACTTTTAGCGTAAATACAGTGTATCTTAGTAATTACGCAATCATCAATTGATATTTTGAAACCAACGCCTGAAGACATGTTTTAGAACTCGGTAAGATCTTTCCAACGAGATATTAAACGCTTTTAACGGCACAAAATAGAGGAAGATATGATCGCATCAAATTCTACACGAGTTCGGAGTGAAGTTGGAACAATAGCTTTAGGTTGTTTTTACTTGGACTGTAATTTGTCCCAGACCAGACCAGACCAGACCAAACCAGACCAAACCAGATCAGACCAGATCAGACCAGACTAAAACAGACCACACCAGACCAGACCATATTTTATTATTATTATTATTATTATTATTATTATTATTGTTATTATTATTATTATTATTATTATTATTGTTATTATTATTATTATTAATATTATTATTATTATTATTATTATTATTATATATATATATAAAATAATTACGCAAAAAATACAAAAAATACACCAGACCAGACCAGACTAGACCAAAACAAACCACACCAAAACAAACCAGACCAGACCAGACCAGACCAAAAAATTACGGTCCAAGTAAAAACATCCTTAGAGCTCCGATCTATCTTTCCAACGAGATATAATACCCTCCAAATGGATAAACACCCAGCAAGATATGAGTGTCACAAATACCTAGCCTTATCTCTATTATTTAGCAATTTCAATGAAAATAGAGCACTTTTAGGGTAAATACAGTGTATTTTAGTAATTAGTCAATCATCCCTTGAAATTTTGAAACCAGCCCCTGAAGACAAGTTTTAGAACTCGGTAAGATCTTTCCAAAGAGATATTAAACGCTTTCAACGGCACAAATTAGAGCAAGATATGATCGCATCAAATTCTACACGAGTTCGGAGTGAAATCAGAAACATTTGTGAATATATGGTTAATCTGTAACTTTTAATTAATGGATTTTAAATGAAGTTAGAACAATAGCTTTAGAGCTCCGATCTATCTTTGCAACGAGATATAATAAACTCCAAACGGATAAACACACAGCAAGATATGAGTGTCACAAATACTTAGCCTTATCTCTATGATTTAGCGTTTTCAACGATCATAGAGCACATTTAGCTTAACTACAGTGTATTTTAGTAATTACGCAATCATCAATTGATATTTTGAAATCAACGCCTGAAGACATGTTTTAGAACTCGGTAAGATCTTTCCAACGAGATATTAAACGCTTTTAACGGCACAAAATAGAGGAAGATATGATCGCATAAAATTCTACACGAGTTCGGAGTGAAATCAGAAACATTTGTGAATATATCGTAAATCTTTAAATTTTAATTGATGCATTGTAAATGAAGTTGGAACAATAGCTTTAGGTTGTTTTTACTTGGACTGTAATTCGTCCCAGAACAGACCAAACCAGACCAAACCAGCCCAAACCAGATCAGACCAGACTAAAACAGACCACACCAGACCAGACCATATTTTATTATTATTATTATTATTATTATTATTATTATTATAATAATTATTATTATTATTATTGTTATTATTATTATTATTATTATTATTATTATTATTATATACATATATATATATATATAAAATCTTTACGCAAAAAATACAAAAAACAAAATTTCAGACCAGACCAGACCAGACTAGACCAAAACAAACCACACCAAAACAAACCGGACCAGACCAGACCAACAAATTACGGTCCAAGTAAAAACATCCTTAGAGCTCCGATCTATCTTTCCAACGAGATATAATACGCTCCAAACGGATAAACACCCAGCAAGATATTAGTGTCACAAATACTTAGCATTATCTCTATTATTTAGCAATTTCAACGAAAATAGAGCACTTTTAGCGTAAATACAGTGTATTTTAGTAATTAGGCAATCATCCCTTGATATTTCGAAACCAGCGCCTGAAGACAAGTTTTAGAACTCGGTAAGATCTCTCCAACGAGATATTAAACGCTTTCAACGGCACAAAATAGAGCAAGATATGATTGCATCACATTCTACACGAGTTCGGAGTGAAATCAGAAACATTTGAGAATATATGGTTAATCTGTAACTTTTAATTACTGCATTGTAAATGAAGTTGGAACAATAAATTTATAGCTCCGATCTATCCTTCCAACAAGATACAATACGCTCCAAATGGATAAACACACAGCAAGATATGAGTGTCACAAATACTTAGCCTTATCTCTATGATTTAGCGTTTTCAACGATAATAGAGCACTTTTAGCGTAAATACAGTGTATTTTAGTAATTAGGCAATCATCCCTTGATATTTTGAAATCGGCGCCTGAAGAAGAGTTTTAGAACTCGGTAAGATCTTTCCAACGAGATATTAAACGCTTTCAACAGCACAAAATAGAGCAAGATATGATCGCATCAAATTCTACACGAGTTCGGAGTGAAATCAGAAACATTTGTGAATGTAAGGTTAATCTGTAACTTTTAACTAATGCACTGTAAATGATGTTGGAACAATAGCTTTAGAGATCCGATCTATATTTCCAACGAGATATAATACGCTCCAAACGGATAAACACACAGCAAGATATGAGTGTCACAAATACATAGCCTTATCTCTAAGATTTAGCGTTTTCAGCGAAAATAGAGCACATTTAGCTTAACTACAGTGTATTTTAGTAATTACGCAATCATCAATTGATATTTTGAAACCAACGCCTGAAGACATGTTTTAGAACTCGGTAAGATCTTTCAAACGAGATATTAAACGCTTTTAACGGCACAAAATAGAGGAAGATATGATCGCATCCAATTCTACACGAGTTCGGAGTGAAATCAGAAACATTTGTGAATATATCGTTTATATTTAAATTTTAATTGATGCATTGTAAATGAAGTTGGAACAATAGCTTTAGGTTGTTTTTACTTGGACTGTAATTCCTCCCAGAACAGACCAAACCAGACCAAACCAGCCCAAACCAGATCAGACCAGACTAAAACAGACCACACCAGACCAGGCCATATTTTATTATTATTATTATTATTATTATTATTATTGTTATTATTATTATTATTATTATTATTATTATTATTATTATATATATATATATAAATATATATATACATATATATATATAAAATCTTTACGCAAAAAATACAAAAAATAAAATTTCAGACCAGACTAGACCAGACCAGACTAGACCAAAACAAACCACACCAAAACAAACCAGACCAGACCGGACCAACAAATTACGGTCCAAGTAAAAACATCCTTAGAGCTCCCATCTATCTTTCCAACGAGATATAATACGCTCCAAACGGATAAACACCCAGCAAGATATGAGTGTCACAAATACTTAGCCTTATCTCTATTATTTAGCAATTTCAACGAAAATAGAGCACTTTTAGCGTAAATACAGTGTATTTTAGTAATTAGGCAATCATCCCTTGATATTTCGAAACCAGCGCCTGAAGACAAGTTTTAGAACTCGGTAAGATCTCTCCAACGAGATATTAAACGCTTTCAACGGCACAAAATAGAGCAAGATATGATTGCATCACATTCTACACGAGTTCGGAGTGAAATCAGAAACATTTGAGAATATATGGTTAATCTGTAACTTTTAATTAATGCATTGTAAATGAAGTTGGAATAATAATTTTATAGCTCCGATCTATCCTTCCAACAAGATATAATACGCTCCAAACGGATAAACACACAGCAAGATATGGGTGTCACAAATACTTAGCCTTATCTCTATGATTTAGCGTTTTCAGCAAAAACAGAGCACTTTTAGCGTAAATACAGTGTATTTTAGTAATTAGGCAATCATCCCTTGATATTTTGAAACCAGCGCCTGAGGGTTTTTCGCGACCCAGCTCGTTCTCACCTTCGCGTATGGATTCCATGGCTTCTTTGTTGAATTTGGATGAGTTACTGAAATGTTAATCGTTAGATTCCTATTCCGTTTCCGATTCCATCCTTGGGTTGGAGCGCAGCTCTCTAAATCGCTGCAAGTTCGCGGTTTTACTGCTCTAGGTACCCTTTGATTTTTGTTTCGATTACTGAAATTGGTGTTCCTGCTACTTTCTGTGACCTGTTCGGGATTCGGCGTTTCACGACGTCGCTCCTTGTATAGTCTGTGGAAGTTGGGGGCGAAATAAGGTTAGCTCGAATTTGGGGATTTACTGTTCATACGTTTGTTCTGCTGCGGGTATGGGGAGAACGAAGCAGGGGTTTGGGGATTCCTCCACTGCGAGAATCACCAGGTCTAGATACGCAGCTTTAGAGGACATGGATGATGATTTCCCAGCACTGAAGACGATTTTGATGAAACTGGGTGACAACTCTGAAACTGCTAATAAAAGCTCTGGCCACGCCTCACCCGGTGCAACTGCTACTGGGATTGCCAAGCTAGGACCTGCCGCTGTTAACGCCAATGTTTCTGTGCAGACTTCCACCTCCTCGAAGCTAGGACCTGCTGCTGCAAAAATCCCAGGTCATCTTGGGACTGTTAACGCTACTTCTGGTCATTCTGCCAGAGCTGCTGCTACTGGGATTTCTCCTGGTAGTGTTACAGAATCTGTAGTGTTTACTGAGGCCAACACTACCTCTAGTGCACTGGCTGTTGCTGCTAAAATTCCTGGGCAGCTTCCAACAAAGGCAGTTGGGGAAAAAACAGCTGCAGGGAAATCTGAAATTGGGACATCAATAGGACAAACAACTAAGACTGCAGTTACTCCAAACTCTGAGAAATCTGCTACTGAGCTATCCATTGGTATATCCACTGCTGTGAAACATGTGAAACTGGCAGAAACTTCAGGAACAAAACCTTGGAACTCCTTGTTTAAAGACAACCGTGATCCAAATAATGGGATTAAGTTGAAATTTGTCCCACCGAAAGGTGAAACACTGGACTTTGGGGACCGAGTACTACCCTCGATGGTTGAAATGTGGGGACACTGTCTAGTTGGACACTTCACGGGAAGATTCCCCGGACTCAAAGCGGTCCATGATTTGAGAGCTAAATGGGGAGTAAGATGCCTTGTAAGATCTCATAATAAAGATTGGATAATTTTTAAATTTCAAAATGAAGAGGATAGATCCAAGGTACTACTTGAGGGACCTTACACCGTGTTTGGTAAACTCATAATGCTTAAAGAACTTGCGGAGGACTTCACTTTTGAGGATGAAGAATTCCTAAAAATACCAATTTGGGTCAAGTTCCCTAAACTACCTGTGAGTTTATGGAATGAGAAGGCTATGAGTGAGGTGGCACTATGATCGGGGTTCCAATAACCACGGACAAGATTACTCAGGACAGGACAAACAATGATTATGCTAGAGTTTTAATTGAGGTTGATGTTTCAAAGCCACCACCACTTCATTTTCCTATACGGCTACCTTCCCGAAAGGTAATCAAACAAAGTGTGCTTTATGAAACTTTTCCTAACTTTTGCTTTCATTGCAAAGAATTTGGGCACCACCCATTTATCTGTAAGAAGCTTGCCAAACCGGACGATGGAGAAAGAGATAAGGAAAAGTGCATTGAGAAAAATGAAAAAATAGGGAAGGTGGCTGAAAAGCCACAAACTGCTGCTGCCCAGGGGTCTTACCCGACCGGGTTAGCCCATGATCCGACCGGGTCTCTTGCCCAGACAGTTACTGCCACTGCCCAAGAGCTCCAAACTGCCCCTCACCCGCCCGGGGGTACGAATGACCCGACCGGGCCTACCGCCCAGGGGGCTAAAATAGCCCAAACAGTTTCTGTCACTGCCCAGGGGTTAAAGGGTACGCGAATGGAACATGAGACTTCTGAAGATGATGACGACGAGGTCTTTTTGGAAGACAACGAGAGAGTAGTAATGGATGAGACCGAGTTGCATCAAGATGATGTAGTAACCAAATGTGAGGTGACGAAAGGAAAGAAGTTCAGGTTATTTGTTAAACCGTTTAAATGTGTGGAAGTCAGTGTGATTAGAGTGGACTCTTTTCTTCGACTTACGGATGATTTGGACAAAAAAGGCCTAACTTTCACCACCGAATGTCTTGAGAGATTACCGGGAGTTAAAAAGAAAAAAGGGGAGGTTTGCTTTGCCTCAAAGTTTACTACTCCCTTCCGACTTTTCTTTGGATGCTGAGTTAGGAATACCTAGTTTGTGTTGTGCTAGGTTTTCTGGATTGTTTGGTTCCGTTTGTGAGTTATGTTCAAAACGTTGATTGTGTGAGTGTGAGTTCTTTTTGAAATTGTGGTATCTCGGGTTATGGGATATGCACCTTGATTGTACACGTGATGCATTGTACTATGCTATTTTTCTGGATATATATACTTACAGTTTATCCAAAAAATTGAAACCAGCGCCTGAAGACAAGTTTTCGAAATCGGTAAGATCTTTCAAACGAGATATTAAGCGCTTTCAACGGCACAAAATAGAGCAAGATATGATCGCATCAAATTCTACACGAGTTCGGAGTGAAATCAGAAACATTTGTGAATATATGGTTAATATGTAACTTTTAATTAATGCATTGGAAATGAAGTTGGAACAATAAATTTAGAGATCCGATCTATCCTTCCAACAAGATATAATACGCTCCAAACGGATAAACACACAGCAAGATATGAGTGTCACAAATACTTAGCCTTATCTCTATGATTTAGCGTTTTCAGCGAAAATAGAGCACTTTTAGCGTAAATACAGTGTATTTTAGTAATTAGGCAATCATCCCTTGTTATTCTGAAACCAGCGCCTGAAGACAAGTTTTAGAAATCGGTAAGATCTTTCCAACGAGATATTAAACGCTTTCAACGGAAAAAATTAGAGCAAGATATGATCGCATCAAATTCTACACGAGTTCGGAGTGAAATCAAAAACATTTGTGAATATATGGTTAATATGTAACTTTTAATTAATGCATTGTAAATGAAGTTGGAACAATAAATTTAGAGATCCGATCTATCCTTCCAACAAGATATAATACGCTCCAAACGGATAAACACACAGCAAGATATGAGTGTCACAAATACTTAGCCTTATCTCTATGATTTAGCTTTTTCAGCGAAAGTAGAGCACTTTTAGCTTAAATACAGTGTATTTTAGTAATTAGGCAATCATCCCTTGATATTTTGAAACCAGCGCCTGAAGACAAGTTTTAGAACTCGGTAAGATCTTTCGAACGAGATATTAAACGCTTTCAACGGCACAAAATAGAGCAAGATATGATTGCATCAAATTCTACACGAGTTCGGAGTGAAATCAGAAACATTTGTACATATATGGTTAATCTGTAACTTTTAATTAATGCATTGTAAATGAATTTGCAACAATAGCTTTCGAGCTCCGATCTATCTTTCCAACGAGATATAATACGCTCCAAACGGATAAACACACAGCAAGATATGAGTGTCACAAATACCTAGCCTTATCTCTATGATTTAGCGTTTTCAGCGAAAATAGAGCACTTTTAGCGTAAATATTGTGTATTTTAGTAATTAGTCAATCATCTCTTGATATTTTGAAACCAGCGCCTGAAGACAAGTTTTAGAACTCGGTATGATCTTTCCAAAGAGATATTAAACGCTTTCAACGGCACAAATTAGAGCAAGATATGATCGCATCAAATTCTACACGAGTTCGGAGTGAAATCAGAAACATTTGTGAATATATGGTTAATCTGTAACTTTTAATTAATGCATTTTAAATGAAGTTGGAACAATAGCTTTAGAGATCCGATCTATCTTTCCAACGAGATATAATAAGCTCCAAACGGATCAACACACAGCAAGATATGAGTGTCACAAATACTTAGCCTTATCTCTATGATTTAGCGTTTTCAACGAAAATAGAGCACTTTTAGCGTAAATACAGTGTATTTTAGTAATTAGGAAATCATCCCTTGATATTTTGAAATCGGCGCCTGAAGAGAAGTTTTAGAACTCGGTATGATCTTTCCAACGAGGTATTAAACGCTTTCAACAGCACAAAATAGAGCAAGATATGATCACATCAAATTCTACACGAGTTCGGAGTGAAATCAGAAACATTTGTGAATGTATGGTTAATCTGTAACTTTTAACTAATGCATTGTAAATGATGTTGGAACAATAGCTTTAGAGATCCGATCTATATTTCCAACGAGATATAATACGCTCCAAACGGATAAACACACAGCAAGATATGTGTGTCACAAATACATAGCCTTATCTCTAAAATTTAGCGTTTTCAGCGAAAATAGAGCACATTTACCGTAAATACAGTGTATTTTAGTAATTACGAAATCATCAATTGATATTTTGAAAGCCACGCCTGAAGACATGTTTTAGAACTCGGTAAGATCTTTCCAACGAGATATTAAACGCTGTTAACGGCACAAAATAGAGGAAGATATGATCGCATCAAATTCTACACGAGTTCGGAGTGAAATCAGAAACATTTGTGAACATATCGTTAATCTTTAAATTTTAATAAATGCATTGTAAATGAAGTTGGAACAATAGCTTTAGGTTGCTTTTACTTGTAGTGTAATTCGTCCCAGACCAGACCAGACCAGAACAGACCAAACCAGACTAAACCAGACCAAACCAGATCAGACCAGACTAAAACAGACCCACACCAGACCAGACCATATTTTATTATTATTATTATTATTATTATTATTATTATTATTATTATTATTATGATTATTATTATTATTATTATTAATATTATTATTATTATTATTATTATGATTATTATTAATATTATTATTATTATTATTATTATTATTATTATTATTATTATTATTATTATTATTATGATTATGATTATGATTATGATTATGATTATGATTATGATTATGATTATGATTATTATAATTATGATTATTATTATTATGATTATTATTATTATTATTATTATTATTATTATTATTATTATGATTAATATTATTATTATTGTTATTATTATTATTATTATTATTATTATTAGTATTATTATTATTATTATTATTATTATTATTATGATTATTATGATTATTATTATTATTATTATTATGATTATTATTATTATTATTATTATTATTATTATTATTATTATTATATATATATATATATATAATATTTACGCAAAAAATACAAAAAATAAAATTTCAGACCAGACCAGACTAGACCATAACAAACCACACCAAAACAAACCAGACCAGACCAACAAATTACGGTCCAAGTAAAAACATCCTTAGAGCTCCGATCTATCTTTCCAACGAGATATAATACGCTCCAAACGGATAAACACCCAGCAAGTTATGAGTGTCACAAATACCTAGCCTTATCTCTATTATTTAGCAATTTCAACGAAAATAAAGCACTTTTAGCGTAAATACAGTGTATTTTAGTAATTAGTCAATCATCCCTTGATATTTTGAAACCAGCGCATGAAGACAAGTTTTAGAACTCGGTAAGATCTTTCCAAAGAGATATTAAACGCTTTCAACGGCACAAATTAGAGCAAGATATGATCGCATCAAATTCTACATGAGTTCGGAGTGAAATCAGAAACATTTGTGAATATATGGTTAATCTGTAACTTTTAATTAATGCATTTTAAATGAAGTTGGAACAATAGCTTTAGAGCTCCGATCTATCTTTCCAACGAGATATAATAAGCTCCAAACGGATCAACACACAACAAGATATGAGTGTCAAAAATACTTAGCCTTATCTCTATGATTTAGCGTTTTGAACGAAAATAGAGCACTTTTAGCGTAAATACAGTGTATTTTAGTAATTAGGCAATCATCCCTTGATATATTGAAATCGGCGCCTGAAGAAGAGTTTTAGAACTCGGTAAGATCTTTCCAACAAGATATTAAACGCTTTCAACAGCACAAAATAGAGCAAGATATGATCGCATCAAATTCTACACGAGTTCGGAGTGAAATCAGAAACATTTGTGAATGTATGGTTAATCTGTAACTTTTAACTAATGCATTGTAAATTATGTTGGAACAATAGCTTTAGAGATCCGATCTATATTTCCAACGAGATATAATACGCTCCAAACGGATAAACACACAGCAAGATATGAGTGTCACAAATACATAGCCTTATCTCTAAGATTTAGCGTTTTCAGCGAAAATAGAGCACATTTAGCGTAAATACAGTGTATTTTAGTAATTACGCAATCATCAATTGATATTTTGAAACCAACGCCTGAAGACATGTATTAGAACTCGGTAAGATCTTTCCAACGAGATATTAAACGCTTTTAAAAGCACATAATAGAGGAAGATATGATCGCATCAAATTCTACACGAGTTCGGAGTGAAATCAGAAACATTTTTGAATATATCGTTAATCTTTAAATTTTAAATAATGCATTGTAAATGAAGTTGGAACAATAGGTTTAAGTTTTTTTTACTTGGACTATAATTCGTCCCAGACCAGACCACACCAGAACAGGCCAAACCAGACAAAACCAGATCAGACCAGACCATATTTTATTATTATTATTATTATTATTATTATTATTATTATTATTATTATTATATATGTATATATATATATATAATATTTACGCAAAAAATACAAAAAATAAAATTTCAGACCAGACCAGACTAGACAAAAACAAACCACACCAAAACAAACCAGACCAGACCAGACCAACAAATTACGGTCCAAGTAAAAACATCCTTAGAGCTCCGATCTATCTTTCCAACGAGATATAATACGATCCAAACGGATAAACACCCAACAAGATATGAGTGTCACAAATACTTAGCCTTATCTCTATTATTTAACAATTTCAACGAAAATAGAGCACTTTTAGCGTAAATACAGTGTATTTTAGTAATTAGGCAATCATACCTTGAGATTTCGAAACCAGCGCCTGAAGACAAGTTTTAGAACTCGGTAAGATATCTCCAACGAGATATTAAACGCTTCCAACGGCACAAAATAGAGCAAGATATGATCGCATCAAATTTTACACGAGTTCGGAGTGAAATCAGAAACCTTTGTGAATATATGGTTAATCTCTAATTAATCCATTGTAAATGAAGTTGGAAAATAGCTTTAGAGCTCCGATCTATCTTTCCAGCGAAATATAATACGCTCCAATTTGTGGATATATATACTAAGAGTCTTTTAGTCAACGATTTCATTTTTTTAAAAGACAACATGCGCGTTGTATCTCCCACACAAATAGAGGAAATTGTCTTCTTTGAAACTTGAAAACGATCTCTAAGGACTTCGTGTCAACGATATTTTTGATATTAAACATCTTTTCACCTACACACAATCCCGTCAAAACTTTTGTTTGAGATGTAGTTTGTCGCTCAAAAGTTATTAGTGTATTTTCTATATTAAATGAGGGAATATTAGG